AATTTATCTTATTCGTCAATTGTCAGACCAATCAATTTTCACATACTTTTGTAGCCCTGAATGTCCTCTTTCGAATGGTGAAAACCGCAGGTCTCTATCTAGTTCTTATCAAAATTTATTCAATTTACAGTCAGGTGCATTCTATTTTGAAACGGATAGTAGTAGCTCTCTAATCGTACTTCACTTGAAATTGATTGTGTACTACATTCTTATTTTCATCATAAAAGCATTCGATTTAGTCTTACCGTCTTTAGCTTGATTGTATTATCGAGCCTATTCGGGTTGAAAATCATTTTATTCAAAAATTTAACATAATTATTTTATCTTCATATTTAGGAATTTAAATCTGTAAATTTTTCTGACATTGATCATGATGCATGGGAACGATGTATAGATGAACCAATATTTTATGATGATCTTTGTCTCAATTATAAAAATGAAGAAGATTCATTATCTGTAAATCAAAATTTAAATAATTTAATAATAATTATGCCAGTTGAATCAATAAATCATCAAGAAACTTATATAATAGATCAAATAGAACCTATTTTATTAATTAATGAACAAAATCAAGAAAATTCAGATTCAAATAATTTTATTCAACATATTGATCAAAATAAAAAACATGAAATTATTGAACAAGATTATCTATTATTTGAACAACAATCTGATAATTATCTTGATCCAAATGAACTTGTTCATCGTTTAGAACAATTAGATTTATCAAATAAACAAGAAATAATAACTAATCTTGATCTTAATGATGAACAAAATATAAACTTTAATATCGAACATTTAACATCTATAGTCGATGAAATTCGTCAAGTAAATCATAAAAAAACGAAAAAAATTCTTTTACAACAACCATTAAATATCGAACAAAAACTTCCTTTAACAAAATCAACAAATAATCTACCAATACGTTATCAAAATCATTGTATTGATAAAGTATCCGATTTAGAAATTGTTAAACAAGGTAATGGTTTTAAAATTGGTTATAGTGATCGACAAGGTACTGATCAACGTGTTATATTAACAAAAAGAATTGAAGCTGGACCAGATATTATCGAACGTGATCCACATATTCGTTTACCTCATAAAGAACGACGATTATTAAGTCAAACATATAGTTCAGTATTATATACAAATGGTAATAATATAATACAAGAAGATAAAAGTTTTCAACGTTCTACTGGTAATATTGAAGTACCAACAATTGGAACTAATCCAAAACATTTTGATGAGGTTTGTATTACGAACGTGACAATCGTACATAATAATTCATCGTTTTTAAGCTATGAGTTTTATAGTAAGCACTTTTAGACTAAAAGAATACAAAAGTTTGTGGGCTAGTAGATAGTTTTTGGAAAGTTATGATAGTTTTACTAGATTTTATGGAACACGATCTTAAAGTAGTGTTGAAGTGTATAGAGTAGAAATTTGCACCTCGCCTCCGGCTCTTCTCACACACTATGATAGACCATCATAAACATTTTAGCAACACTTCCGCCATAGACTGCGGCACGTATTGTTATTATACGATAAAAGACCGTAATTAACAAGGTCTCGTTATTATATATGAACTATTTCCTTATTTTATTTCTCTCGAGGATTACATTAAAAAAATGGTGAAAGAATGTGTTTCAAAATAGTGAGAATAAAACAATTTTCCTGTAATTAGCAATAGCAACTACATCATCTTTCACATTTTAATCCTGTAGAGATATTACGGTAACATTTTTTTTTCTTACCACAGAAATAAAAGAAGAATACCTCTGTCTTTCAATTATATTGCACTATATATTGTTGCCTAGTAACAGATTCAATAGCCTGATATCTTTCCTACAACTATGATTAGTTGTAGCTTTAACAGAGAGTCAATGTAATGCAGAATTCTTGTGTTCCCTATGCACACTAACTAACTGCAAGAATAGATATATGTCACAACGTATCTAGTGGCGGAGCCAGGATTTTGAGCTGGGAGGGCTGGGGGGTGGGGGCTCAGCGTCTTGTAAGGCACCTCTGAGGCCCGGTTTTTGAATAGAATGCATTGTTTTAAAATTTTTCTGG